GGTGATCTGCATGACACCAGCACCAAGATCGGCGGTGTGCCTCCACCGAGGGAAGAGTATCCCGATCTCGGTGCTGGTGGTAATATCCTGGCTTCCAAGGTGACGGAACTATTGCCACCAACGCCAGAATCTAGGATCATCTTCCCCATGTGGAGGCATCCCCCTGTGTTGGTGTTGGTGCCCATCTCTAGGCCTCCAAGATCTGCCAGCCCCAGGTTCTCGGGCGACGGAATCTTTTCATATCCACTGCTCTTTGGCAGGGCAATTCCTGGGCCCAGGAGCTGTTTGTACGCCCTCCTGGCCAAGCCAGGAGGTCGTGGCGTAATTCTACACCGCCGCTAGATTCAGGAGGATGTGCCTGGCCAGGTGGCAGTGGATATGTAGAGATTTCGCCGCCTTAGGTTCACGAGCGACGAACATGTCCGCATCCATGCCCTCGCGTTCTGGCTTCGCGATCTGAAGGATGCGTTCCGCAATGTGCATTCGCGCAAAGCCATCCCGATTCCATGGGATCGCGGCCGAGGAGCCCAGCCCGCGAGGCCGCGGATGTGGATATGTTGGCCGCCTGCGACGGATGAGGGGCAGTTTTTGGGGTGGACAGGCTCAGGGCGGGATGCGTCGACACCCAACCGCTCATGGACCGCCGATAGGTGCCTGATAGCCCACCCCGCCGTCGCAAGCTTATTTCCGAACTGTCTGTCGTCGCCCCAACATATTTATATGATATGCGCGTCCCCCCCCCCCCCCCCGGGGAGGCGCGCACCCAGAAATCTTGTAGTGTATGCGCCGTGGCGGGTGTTTTCTGGCCACACCGCTCGTGAAACGATATTCTACAAGATGGTTATACTACATGTTCGGGTCGGACGCGCGCCTCCAAGGAAAACGTATCGTACTAGTATGTCTCTGTGCGTCCCACGTCGGCGACGTACCACCGACTCCAGGTTAATGTCCCCCCCCCTCGAGCCAGTCCCCCCTGGCGCTGCCCCGAGAAGAGCACAAGGGACCCCCGAAGACTTCTGGGGGTCTCGAGCGGAGCCCAGGGGCCCACGCCGCAGGCGCCGCCACCAGAAGGCGCGAGGTCGCGCTGCGCTTCGCGCCTCGCGGCCTCGGCCGGCCTGGCGAGGGGCTTGCCGCAGGTGCGTCACGGCTCAAACGGAGGCTGGGGTCCGCTCGGACTTCTCGCGCGCCCGCTGGGCTCTCTCCTGTCAGAGCTCGTGCCGCGCCACGCCCAGGTTTTTTTCTTTTGCTGGACCCCCACTCCGAGGCGGGAATTTATCCATATCCACCGCCTGGAGGGTCAGTTTTCGGAGCCTTGGCAGGCGCTGGATATGGACATATTCGGGCCCCCGGGGGCCGAAATATATCCGTATCCACCGCCCGCTGGGACACCAGGACGTCGCTTCCCAGGCGGTGGACATGGATAAATCCCGCCTCGCACTGCCAGAGCTCGTGTCGCGCCACTCCCAGGCTTTTTTTTTGCTGGACCCCCCCCGGGGGAGACTTCGAGAGAACGGGGGGGGCCACATGCGAACCCCTACCCCATACCCCCCACGACTTCTGCGGGGGAGGGTGGGGTTCACTTCGTTCGGAAGCTCGCGAGCGAAGTGAACCCCACCCTACCCCTCAGAAATTGTGGAGGGTAGGGGTAGGGTTCGCATGTGGCCCCCTAGAACGGGGGACTGTGGAGTGCCTCGGGGTCGAGGGCGCGCGCGAGAGACTTTCACACTGAGTTTGCGCGTGCGTCCTTGAGTGCTCTGCGCGGTCTGTGGCGGGCCATCCTCTCCTCCTTCCTCCTCCTCCTCCTCCTCCTCCTCCTCCTCCTCCTCCTCCTCCTCCTCCTCCTAGCCGTTCTGGCACAGGCGGCGCGCTGTGTTTGTTGGCATCTACTTCAGAGCGGCACAAGGTGCCAACGGGCCAATCTGGGCACGATTCCTCTCACGCGATGGCCCCGCCGAAGCCCATGCCATGGGGACCCGTCCCAGCCTGGGCCCAGTCGTATGGCTACATCTACACGCCTCAGTGGCAGTGGGGCGCTGCCCCGCCGTTTCCTGGTGCACCCCCTGGTGCTCCTGGCCACGGTGATGGTGGTGCAACTACTGGCCGCTGGACATGTCAGCATCAAGATTACCGCTGCACGAAGAACAACGCCCGCTCCCCCGTTTGCCAGCACTGCAAGCGATCCCGAGGCTCTGCTCCAGGGACGCAGCCTCCAGGTACGTGGTCGTGTGGGCTCCCGCTTCAGCCGCAACATGGTGCAGTACAGTCAGCGGCACCAGGTGGGCAGCCTCTACAGGTCGGCCCCCAGCCGCAGAAATATGATTACTACTCGGTTGACGAGCTCCAGCAGCTCATCGACACCGCCACGAAGCATAACGATACGGCCAACGTCAGCTTCTACAAGGCGGCCCTCGAGCGCACGAAGGCCCGTGATCGTCCTGCACCGCCCAAACCGCTACAGCGACAAGCGAATGATGCACATCAGGCGCCCAAGATCATTGTGAGGAGGCTTGAGAAGGCCCTGGGTGAGTGGGAATCGGCCCGCGAATGGGTTGCCAAGAAGCATGCTGAAGTTGTCAAGCTCCGTGACGAGTTGGCCGAGAAGGACCGCATCCACACAGACCTGGTCGGGCAGTTGCACGCGAACGTGTGTAAGCCGCCGCTGTCTCAGCCGAACACGGCGACGCAGATCAATGTTCGTGACTTGCTGGATGGCCGGCTGTCTGAGATCAGCATCGTCGGCGGCGACGAGTTGCTGGGTGTTCCGTCTGCCGAGTACGACTTCTCCACGGAGGACATCGAGCTTCTGCAGAGCAAGCAGAAGGAAATGCTTGCGGGAGTCCGCCAGCTGGCCACCACGCTGAACGCGGACCTGGTCTCAACTCTCGACAAGGCGAAGCAAGAACGTCGTGAGCATCTTTCCAGGCTGTCCCACAAGAAGCGGAAGACTGGCGAAGGTGTAGCTTCAGGAGGTGGTGGAGGTGCTGAAGGTGCGGGAGGTGATGGACGTGCTGCAGCTCCCGCAGGCGCCAGTGCAGGTAGTGTTGGTGGACCCGCTGCTGCTGCCGCCGATGATCCTCATCCAGGTGCCGACGGTGCTACCCTTCGTGAGCGGGCCGCGCGCGCTGCTGCTCATCCTCCTGAGGCCTCTGCCCCCAGCCAGCCATCCAAAGAGGGCCCCCCTGGACAAGGTAAGAGTGACTGAGTCCAGGGGGGGCCCAATGCAGTCGATCACTTTTTGCAGCAACGGCCAGTCCTAGGACCTAAATTTTACAAGGTTCAGGATAGTGACCCCAACATGTCTCCATTTAAAGGTGTCTTCAGAGCCCCAGCCCACCCAGGCCCCGAAGACTTTGAATTAGTTTTTGAAACCATTAACTCCAGCAGTTGGACGTCGGCAGAACCCTGGCTTTTTAAATCCCCCGCACATATAATTTTAGTACAGGAGCACCACTTAGCTAAGAAGACTGCGATTGAAGAAGCATCGTCCTGATGTCGTCGCCACGGCTGGCTTGCTCGAATTTCTCCTGCCCTGGTCACGCCCGAGGGGGGCACGTCTGGTGGTACGGCGATTTTGGTCCGGGACTGGCTGTTACGACATCACGAAGGGACCTGACTTCTACCCAGGTCGCGCGACAGTGTGCTGGGTGCAAGTACCTGGCGGCATCGCCATCTTATGCTGATCGCTCTACCTGAAGGACCCCGAAGGAATATCGGAGCTCAACCTCGGTGTTTTAGCCAAGGTCGGGGCTCTGTGTAATTCCTGCTCCTCTCCTTACCTCGCGGGGGGAGACTTTAAGATGCCCCCTTCTGAGCTCGCAGAGCGTGACTTTGCGGCTGGCCTCTCGGCCAACATCGTTTACCCCCCCCGACTCTATCTCGTGCGCCAGTAATGCTGAGGGAGGAGGGAACGTGCTCGACTATTTCGTTACCAGTCCTGGACTCGGCAAAGGGGTTGCTGGCACGTCGGTCGTGTTGACTGCGGATACCCGTCCGCATCGGCCCGCCCGCATTCGCTTCCATCAGTCCCTGGCCGATCTGCAGGTTCTGTCGTTTGCCCGTCCCCCTCGCATCCCTGCCCCCCTCCCCGTGGGGCCCTTTCCGAAACCCTCCAGCTGGCAGGGTATTCTTAACTGTGCCGAGCATGCTCTCACGCTCGTCCGTTCTGGGGCCCCCAGGTCCTCGATCCAGCGTCGCGTTAACTTATTATATAAGTTCTGGGCCAGACAGTCCGAAGAGGAACTGGAGTCGGCTTATCAGGTGCAGCTCCCCATTCGAGGAGCTCGTGGCAAGGTTCCCAAGCTCGCTTGGAAGTCGGTTCTCGCCCAGGACCGCAGTCGGAAGCCCAGGCAGCCGGAGCTATGCGCTTTGCGCTGGCTCGAAGGTAGTGTTCGCCTGCTCATTGTATACACCGGCACGGACCGCTGGCGCCAGGCTCAGGAAGTCTCGCAACTCCTGCCCCCCCCAAAAAAATCTGCGATCATCTTGTCACGTTTCGAGACCTGGCGCAGCGAGTCCAGGATCATGTAAAGCCGATGGTTGAGTATGCTGCTTCCGAAGGTCAGTCAGTGTCAGGCGACCGCGCGTGGCAGGCTGCTGGGGATGTTATTTTGGAAGCGTTGAGTGAGGCGCTGGGCACTTACTCGGCCGCTGCCAGGGCTGAGGCTGCTGCCAAGTGGAAGGAATGGCTGTGCGATGGCATCGAGGGAGGGGGCAAGCGTGCTCACAATTGGGCCCGCCCCCCCCACCGCTTGGATCCCGCCCAGACCGTTTCGTCCAAGGGTAACGTTCTTGCCGACCCCAAGAGTCTCTTGCAGACGGAGGGTGCTCGTTTTTCTGGCCTTTGGAGGGCCCAGGACCCCCCGTTCCCTGGCGAGCAAGGCTTTGAGCAATACCTTGACCCCCTCTCTTGGGTTGATCCAGACACCATCCGACAGGCGTCTCGGTCTTATAAGCTTACCTCGGCTGTAGGTATCGATGGGCTTCACGTGCGTCACTTTCAGGCTCTCCGTGATTCGGCTCTCCACGTCCTCATGGCCCTTTGGTCCGTCATGGAAAGCACTGGCTTGATTCCGAAGCAGGTTCGCGTTTTGAGTTTGGCCCTCCTTGAAACACCTACTGGGGGGTGGAGGCCGATCGGCATTTTTGCTGGCTTTTATATGTTGTGGGGGCGGCTGCGGCGGCCTTTCCTCCAGGCCTGGGAGTCCAGCGTCAGCAGGCCGTACCTGGCCGCCTCTGCCTTTGCAGGTGCAGGTGATGCGGTCTGGAGACAGGCGTTGCGCTCCGAGGCCGCCGTCTGCAGCTCGCAGGTGTCTTGCAGCATGTTGTGGGACCTATTCACATTCTTCGAGATTATGTCTGGGGAAGCTCAAGGATCGCTGCCAGTTCCTGAGTTTCCCGCCGCAGATAGCCAAAGTCTGCCTCAACATGTATACAGGACCGCGCGTTGTTATGTTAGGCTCGATGGCCGAAGGACCGTTTTCTGCGCTACGAGGAGTCATTGCTGGCTGCTCTGCTGCCGCCAGCTTCGTGCGAGCATTTGTGATTCCTTCTCTTGACCTTCTCTCCCCCAGGGTTCAGAAGGGTCTCGACGTGTACATTGATGATTACGGTCATTCTATCCAGGCTCGTCCGTGCTCCATCGTCAATATTGTTGTCGAGGCTGCTAGAGAGCTTCGCCGCGTTATCACTGAATATATGGACTGTGCGATATCTCTGGATTTGGCCACTCTTGTTCGCTCCTCCACTGCGCACGGCGATCGCATCAAGAAGCTGCTTGGCCCTCTGGCTGGAACGCCAAAGGACACGGCTGCCAATCTTGGGGTTGATGAGACCGCGGGCATGGGGAGGAGGGGAGGCAGGAGGGGTACAAATTATGCTCAAAGGCGGCGTGTATTTAAACAACGGCAAGCTAGGTTTCGGAGATGCAAGTCTATGCTCGGGCGGCACGCGTGCCGCATCTTTTCCTCAGGCCCGCTTGCTGGACTATTTTATGATGCAAATGCCCGCGGGGCATCCGACTACGAGTTGGCCTGTGCGCGTCGTGCCTTAGGTTCCACCCTGAAGCCATCCTCAGGCCAGCGTCCCCTCGCCTCCCTTCTCATCCTCTCGAACGATCCCTTGTGGAGGGCCGCTGTGGCCCCTATCGTCAGGTTTTCGAAGGAGGTTTGGGGATCTCAGTCGAGGCCGTCTGAGCATGCTCTGTCGTTCCGTGTTTTTAGCGAAGCGTGGGAAACCATTTTTGTTGACGCCCCTGCCCCCTCCTGGCGTCAGGTCCGAGGCCCTCTGCAGGCCATGCGTCTTTCGCTCGCCAGGATAGGGTGGCACATGCCGTCGTGGCGCACCCTTGTCAACGACTTCGGTGATGAGGTGCAGCTCACGACTTCGTCGCCGGCGCTTGTGGCCGATCTGCTCTTCGAGGGGGTGATGCGCACGCGCCAGAGGGCGGTGGGTGACGAGCTGGGGACATGAAGGGTGTGCTTCGATGTCGTGGCCTCAGAGTTGCGACGCTCGGCCCATTCGCCTCGCGATTTTGGATGTATCAGATTGATCGCTTGCGACGGCACCTGGACTAAGGACCGCGCCATCGGGCGAGGCTATGAGCTTCAAGACGATCGTTGCCTTCTTTGCGAGGGTGCTCCTGACTCTTTAATGCGCCGTCTCTGGCAGCGCCCGTGCGTGGCTGATCAGCGCCTCGAGGCCTGTGATGCTGCCATTGTCGAGGATGCTGCCGGGGTCATCAGCGAAGGTAATGATAGAGAAAAGTTGTTTTTTTCCCAGGGGTATCTTCCCCCATCCAGGGGACTGGTTGCCGAGGCCCGCGGAGGCTGGAAAAATCGTCCACCTCCAGGGTCCGTTCCTGGCGCCGTTGGAGTTTCGGGTGACGTCTTCTGGGGCGGTTCGTCCTGCAAGCACGTCGTCAAGTAGCTGTCGCGGGCGGGCTGGGGGTTTGTCCCTGTGGGCGCCCAGGGGGGGGGTCATCGCCTCGGTTTCAGGGGCGGTGTCGAGGCCGTTTCCCCAGACCCCTCAGGCGGGTGAGTACAGCGCCTGCTCGGCCACTGCTCAATGCCTGGAAGGGCCCACCGCGGGATATGCGGACTGCTTAGGGGTCGTCAGGGCCCATGATGCTCACCAGGCTGTTAGTTGTAAGTTATGAGAAGAAGTATTCTGGCAGTGTTGTGTCTCCACATTGCAGAGCGGTTAGGAAGGTGAAGGCCCACGCTGTCGAGTATGCCGACGTGTCCGCCGGGGACAGGTTTTTAATGCTGGGCAACGACGCAGCCGATAGAGCTGCAAAGTTAGGTGCTGCCCTCCATCCGCAGGCCAGTGCGGACGAGAAGGCACACATCGAGCGTTTTAACAAAGTTGCCCGAGCTGTTTGTAGAGTTGCCGCCGCGGTCCTTCCGTGCTGGCCGAAGCTCGATCTCGGTGGAGTGAAGCGTGCCATTCCCACGCCGCCTCCTCCTCTCGAGCCTCGCTTCGATCACCAATGGGAATGGTGCCGCAACTGCTGGCGATGCATGTGCTGCCTACGTTTTCGTCGCTGTGCTGAGCGACCGCCTTTAGGCGGGTGCCGAGGTGAGCCTCCGCCCGCTGTGCAGAATATGTCGAATATAGGTCACCGCATGCTGGCCTTGCAGTGCAGTGACGAATCGCCGCTCTTCGTCTGCGTCATATGTAAAGCATGCACCTGCCTCGGGCGTGTGCTGCGGTTGAGCCGTGCATGCGATCCGACCAAAACTGGCCGCAATGATAAGGATCGCTGGCGGCTCATGAAGCGTGGGTTCCACCCTAAGCTCAAAGGGGTTACGGTCGAGCCTATGCCCGATATGGACGAGTGAATATCACTGTCATATCTATTTCTCTCATTTCCCTCAGTGCACCTGTTGGGCAGTGTTGAATGGACAAAAAACTCCTCCTCCTCCTTCCCCTCCTCCTCCTCCGCCTCCTCCTCCTCCGCCGCCTCCTCCTCCTTCTCCTCCTCCTCCTCCTCCTCCTCCTCCTCCTCCTCCTCCTCTCCCTCTCAGAAGAGACTTTGTTTTTCCCCCTCAGTTCCCCCCCCCTCAGTCCCACCCCCCTCAGTTTCCCCCCGCCCTGGGCGATCGGCGGCCCCCGTTTTTTGTTTGTTCTTTCTTCGGGGGGGAGGTGGCAGGAAGAGAAAACCCCCGTCCTCGCATCGCAGGCCTTGTGTTGCGCTTTCCAAAGGATTCCTATTGTGACGGTTCCCAGTGGAATGCTTTTGTGGTGCTATTCGAATGGTTCTTGTTGTGAGGTTTTTCAATCGAATCTCTTTGTGGTGCTTCCCAGTGGATTCCGATTTCGAGCATTTCCTGTAAACTCTCGTTGTGGTGTTTTCCAGCAGACTCTTTTTGTGATGCTTCTCGCTGTGGATTTCCTTGTGGTGTTTCCAACGGATTCTTGTGGTGGTGCTTTTCAATAGAACCCATTTGCGGCGCGTTCCAAAGGGTGGCCACTGTGAGAATTTCTCGTGTAACCCCTTTGTGGTGCTTTCCAGAGGAGTCCTGTCGTTAGCCTTTCCAATAGGATCCCTTTGCGGCGCTATCCAAAGGACTGATGTTGTAAGGCTTCCAAACGGAATCCTTCAGTGATGCTTTCCGATGGTTTTTTTTTTTTGGACTTTCAACTATGAACCCTCAGTGGTGCTTTCAAACAAGCTTTCCGATGTGAGGCTTTCCAATCAAATCCTTCTTCGTTGGTGTCCAAAGGATCCCCACTGTGACGGGTTCCGATCGAATGCCGTTGTGGTGCTTTCCAAGGGGTTCCTCTTGCAAGGCTTACCAACAACATCTCCGCGTTGGGCTTTCCAACGGATTATGAATGTGAGGCTTTCCAACCGATTTTTTTGGTGCTTTCCACAGGACTCCTTTAGTGATGCTTCCCAATCGAATCTCCTTGCGTTGCTTTCCAATAGAACCCCCTTGTCGGCGCGTCCCAACATATTTTCGCTGTGAGGATTTCCCGTGAAATCTATTTTGTGGCGCTTTCCAACGGATCGTTGGTGCGAGGCTTACGAGTATATTTTGTGTTTGGTATTTTCCAAAGGAGTCCTGTCGTGTCAGTGGTGTTTTCAGACAGTTTTCCGGTGTGAGACTTTCCACTGGAATCCTTCTGTTGTGCTTTCTGATGGGTTCCTTTTCGTGCGGTTTCCCAATCGGAACCTTTTAGCGCCGCTTCCCAATTCAATAGACTCCCAGTGTGGTACTTTCCAAAGGATCCCCTTTGTGGTACTTTCCAAAAGGAGCCCGTCGTTACGTTTTCCAGAGGATTCTTCTTGCGATGTTGTCTTGTCGGAGCCCTTCGTGCTGCCTTCCAGGGGATTCCTCATGAGAGGCTTTCCAGTGCAATCCCAGTGTGGTGTTTTCCGCAGGATTCCTGTTGCGAGGCGCTCCGATGTGATCCAGTCTGTTGCGCTGTTCAAAGGATCTCAATTGCGAGGCCGTCCGATAAAACCTGTTAAGTTCCGTGCCCAAAGGTTCCAGGTGTTTGTTCCCACAGAATCCTTATGGGGCGCTTTCCAAAATATTCCAACTCTGATTGTTTCTAACAGAATGCGTGCTGTTAGGCAGCGCTTTCCAAAGGATCCTTGTTGGAGGCCATAACATGGAATTCCTGTGTAGCACTTCGCACAGTGTTCCAAGCCCGAGGCTTTCCAATCGAATATCTTGTGTTGTCCAAAGGTTTCCTCATATAACGCATCCCAATGTAACCCCCCAGCAATGCTTTTTAAACGGTTTCGTTTAGACGTTTTCCAAATACGATCCTTGTTTGTAATGGTTCCGAGCGGATTCCTGTTGCCAGGCCATAAAAAACCATGTGGGGTGATTTCCGAAGGATTATTGTTGTGGGCGCTCCAATACAACCTTGCTGTGTGCTGTCCAAAGGGTCTCAGTTGTGAAGCCTTCCGATACAGTCTTTTAGATTCCTTTCTACAGGGTTCCAATTTTAAAGTTTCCCCACGGAGTCCCTCTGAGGCGCTTTCCAAAATATTCCAGATTCATATGATTGTGTCTAACATGTGCTTGTAGCGCTTTCTCAAGGATCCCTGTTGTGAGGCCATCCACTGGAGTCCCTGTGTAGCACTTCGCACAAAGTTCCGAGTGCGAGGCTTTCCAATCGAATCCCTATGTGGCGCTTTCCAAAGGATTCCTGATGTGAGGTTTTCAATGTAATCTCTTTGTGGCGCTTCTCAAAACATTCCTCTTGTGATGCTTCCCGATCAAAACCTTGAGCAGTGCTTTCCAAAGGGCTCCGATTATGAGGCTTTCCAATCTGA